GGGTGCTGCGAAGTAGGTCTGTTATTTCAAGAGCAGTTCGGGGGGAGGGGAGAGGAGTGGCTGGAAGGAGCGGTGGAGCTTCTTTTATGGTTTCCGCGTCTGTGATCCATTTGCTTCCATGATTTTTGCACTTCCAGGGAGGTTTCGCTAGTTTTTCGCTAAAAATCCCGACAAAATTTCTGAAGTGCTCTCTTTTTCTTCATCTTTCACCATACTTTTACTCTATCTGATCGCACAATCATATCGCTTTCCTCCTTTCTGTCGTGGTCCTCTTTTCCTTTTCCGTTAAGCACTGCGACCGTCATACTGATGAATTCCTGTGGCGGTGTTGAGTTAAGACGTATATGACTTAATGGACCGAAACGTCTTATCTCACACTTATCTTCTCTCATACTGTAATCTATCGCGTCTTCGCCATTTAGACTTTCAGGGTCAACCTGGTTGCTAGAATCTGCTCGTAGTGCCCTGTTGAACAGGTTGGAAAGCGCCCTATTCTGTAGTGCGTTTATGTCCAGGCTTTCAACAAATGGTACTTGCGATTTTTGCGGTAAAAAGAAGTGGCCATCTCATAGATATTACGTTCTTATATGTGTTAGTTATGCAACTTTATGCAGTGCCATTGCACCTGACAGGCTATTGGCTCTGGGGTTGCATAAATCGCTCCAGTACTGCATTATGGCGAAATTGCGTATGTATGTAGGTATGTATGTAGGTATGTATGTATGTATGTATGAATGAATGTACGTATGCATGTATGTGTGTATGTATGTATGTGTGTATGTATGAATGCATTTATGTATGTATGTATGTGTGTATGTATGTATTTACGTATATATGTGTGTATGTATGCATTTATTTATATGTCTGTTATGTATCTGTGTATATGACTGAGCTCCAGAACTACAGGAGCTGAGAAACTAAAATCTCTGGCCATGTAAGAGTGCAAAAAGGTAGCGTCTTTCATGTTGACGTGGAGGGGTGCAGAGTCACAAATTAATGATTCGTATCTCAGATCCTTATCAGTGACTATGCAGCATACTATATGCCCAATGAATTGGTCGGGAAAAAAAAACGTTTTGATGA